GATTAGGTCCCTGAACTGAATGATTGTATATATGTACATACTGTTTTGTCCGACTGTATATATTTGAATGAAAAGTCTTTTTGCATACAGACTGTCACAGCTCATTGGACATTGTTTATTTACTGTTTTGGTTTTCGCCAGCCCCTGTACTCTGTATTACTGTATTACTGTTAAGCAGGCCTTCGGTAATCTTGGAATACTGGCCGGTTACGGTGCTAAACCCATAGGGGCGGGTTTGAGTCGTGACATTAACTATGTGAGAATTTTAAAAATTTGTATTCCCCTCACCACAAATATTTTGTTTATGAAATTTGAGATTTTGAGTGTTATATTTTATATATTTTGAATGATAAATATTTGGAGAGAATCAAGATAGGTAAAAAGAATTTCAATACAAAGTTTTGTGAAATAGTAATATATGGAGGATCAATCTATTAATCAAAGTAAATTGAAAAGCGATTTAAAAGCAAAGGTATGCATGTGGGTTATGATACATTATGTATAATCAACATCAGACATATATATACATACAAAATGTACACATTTATACATATACAAATATATTTAACATCACGTACATATATTATTATTTATAAATATATTACATGTAGACACTCGAGGAAAAATGATGGAAGAGAGAATACAAAAGGATGAGTTATTCAAACATTCATTTAAATGTAAATATATGTACATAATAAAAAAGACAAATATATGAATAAGTATAAAACTAACTTCTTCTAAATACATGTTGCATCAGACTGCTTGACTGTGTAGGATTATGCCTTGTTCTAAAATGCTTTTCATGTTGAATTGTTGTTATATGTTATTTAGGGTTTTCAAAAGGGAAATGGTAGGTGTCATGAAGAATTTTCATGAAAACTGTCATGAAAACCATCTGCACCGTTAGATCAGGTATATGTCTCATGGTCCAACGGTACAAATGATTTTCATGACAGTTTTCATGAAACGTAGTAGGACCCTTTTCAAAATTCTATGTCTTTTAATTTTACTTTATGTTTTTTATTTGCATTATTTGGAAAGATTGAGAAGGTAGCAAATATATGAGATATGTTAATGATTTTCTATATTAGTGGGATATTTGAATTTTGAAATTCAAATTTAATGGGCAATTAGAGTTATTTTTTTTATTTTTAATATTTTAGTTGAGTTAGTCAATAGAAAGATTTTTAATTATTTGAAAATATAAAAAACTAACAAAATTAGTTTGAGGATTTAGAGCTCCCAAAGGCTTGTTGTAAGAAACCCCATTTTCTTTAATATACATATAAATAGATGTTGTAAAAGGCATGAGCCGAATAGATCATAACATTCCATTTACTATCTTATTGCAGCCTCCAAAATGGATCCCAAGTTGTACAAAGCAGCCATGAGAGGCAAAGAGAAAATGGGAGGAGAAGAGAATGAAGAAAACGATGATGATGTTCTCAACCTCATGCAATGCATTAATGACCAACAACAACTTGAACTGCAATTAACTTCAAATAAAAACACAATCCTCCATGTCGCAGCCCAATTCGGTAATAAAAAATATGTGCAAATAATCTTAGAAAAGAGTCCATCGTCATCGTTGTTACGCTGCTTGAATATCGATGGCGAGACTCCTCTTCGAATTGCAGCGAGGGTAGGACACTTGGACATAGTGAAAGCACTCATACAATGTGCAAAAAGACTAGACCACGAAGAAGTTGAAAGCGGGGGTGGAGCAGCCATGGAGATGTTGAGGGCCACAAATAACGACAATGACACTGCCTTGCACATAGTCGTGTGAAATCCTCGTAACTCAAGTGTGTTGAAAGATATTGAGTTTATACGTCCACCCAATAACGCGGGTGTGGTGGAATGGTTAACTAAAGAAGATCCTGAGTTTACACATCCACCCAATAATGCCAAGGAAACTCCACTATACCTGGCCGTTGAGAGACAACGCAATGACATGGTGTCTATGATTTTGAAAAATTGCACATCGCCAGCTAATGGTGGCCTAAATGGTCAGACGGCATTGCACGCGGCAGCAAGTGACAGACGGGAAATAGGTTTGTGGCTACTTCAATTTCTTCAACCAATTTAATTACATGTACAATTGTAGAGACAAAAAAGGGTAGAGCGTTGGATTAAATAAATACATATTCTTTTAGGCATACATAACCTGCCCTGTTCATTTATTAGTTGCAATAATCATTTACATTTCATCATAATAATAGTATCACAAACACCATTGGAAAAAATTGAAGTTACATATATTGTAGAGAGATTAGAGTTGGAACGATGATTATTTTAATCAACCATGAAACAAGAATTCAAATTGAATTGAAGCATATGTCTAGCTTAGTAAGTCTATTGAAGTGAGAGGACAAATGTGCAATAACAAAATTAATTTCAAAAAAAGAAGTTAAAAAAGTTGAAGCATTTTCTGTTGTTGAGGTATGTATTAAATTGTATTTAATACTTTTTCTCTGAATCTTTTATTTCAGGAAGTTCAAAACTTTTATTAGAATGGAAGTCAGATCTAATCAAGGAAACAGATGAATACGGGTGGACACCACTTCACTATGCTGCACATCATGGTAATGTAAATGGAGTTAAAAGGATACTAGAAAAAGATAAATCAGTAGCATACATTACAACAGATGAGGAGGATGATGAAAAGACATCTCTTTATATAGCTGCTGCTCGTGGAAATGTAAGGGTAATGGAAGAGCTTTTATCACAGTGTCCAGATTGTTGGGAGATGGTCAATAGTAAAAGACAAAATATTCTTCACATTGCTGTGGATATGGAGCAGGAAGAGGTGATTAAATATATTTTTGAAAAGTTATGGATTATTCATTTTATAAATCAGAAAGACATTGAAGGAAATACACCACTCCATCTGCTTATTACTGCTTTCGGGATCGATATGCCGATGTTCGAGATTGTGCTCTGGGCCTAGTCTAGTGGAGATTGGAATGCTACAAACAATAACAACGTGACCCCACAAGGCATAATGTGGTCTCGTGTTGCAGAGGTAAGAATGCTAATTTGACCGCATATGACATGTTTTCTCATGGCATGCATCGTACATACCATAATGTTGAGAACCAAACCTTTATGTCATCCTTTGTGCACGTCACACACCATAATGTGTTATAAATTTTGCAAAAAATAACTATTAAAAAAAAAAAAGGAAATATAAGTGAATTTTTTTTTAGTATGCATATAGGTGTAGTGATGATGGGATTAATAGTATCAAGAGGTTCACGTAATAAAAAAAAGTTCAAGTTTTCTTTTTTAAATAATAGATTGTGTAGAATAATAAAAATTCATTTGTTTGAAATTAATTGATTCATAATATTTACATTAATTTCTCTGTTCTTTCAAGAATAGTAGTACTTGAACTAAAAAATTTGATTTGTTGTTTAAAATTAATAATGTGATAGTCTATTACATATTTAAAACAACTCTCTCTCTCTCTCTCATTTTTTTTAATCATTAATCATCTTTTTTACACATTATTAAATAAAAAAAATGAATCTAAGGCCTCGTTTGAGAACCCTTTATTTTAGCCATAAAGTCAAAAAGTTATTAAATTAGTCAAAAAGCCAACAATCCATACCAAAAAGTCAAAGATTCTCTTTTCTCTCTACTTTTTGCATATCTTTTCGTAAAAAACTAAAAAGTCATCCCAAACATACTAGTTTTTTTTAGCTCGTATTTTAGCCAAATAGCCAAATAGTTACTAAATTAGCATGTTCCCAAACGAAGCCTAAGTATATCATTTTCTTTCTCTCAACTACGCCTACCCTTATTTGGTGGAATTTATAGATAATATAACATTAGCACCTTCACCATATGTTTCAAGTATTTTTGTCAAGTGAGGCAGTTATGCTATAATACTAATGTAATTACTTTTCATTTAATTATAACAATTTTAATATTGCAAAAGACTTTAGCTTATTCTGACCTTATAGCATAATATTTATAAGATTCAAGCCGACTTTGACATTTTCAGGACTTAAAAGTGAAATTTTGAATATGAACCTTTCATACATTAAAAAAAAAAAGTGTGACCAAAAGATTATGTATTTTTTATTTGACAGTGCTTACCAAAACATTACTTAGACGTATAACTATCAAAATTTACTTAAAGTTTATAATAAGAAAAACCAAAATAATCCAAGCTCAAACACCAAATAAAAAATGAACAAACTATACCAAAATATTAATTAAACATCACCATTCTCGTATTTTTAACTGCAAAATAGCTATTTGAAATTGAATAATCCAACTTATCGACAAAATCCTTTTTAATTCATAAAAATATTGATTTATTTATTCTTTCTTGTGACTATGTTTTTCCTTTTCTTGTGACTAGTTGACCGGAGGTAAGATTTAATCAACTTTAAATTTTGAAAGTTTCTTTCCCCATAAATAACTATAAGTTTCTTTCTCCATAAACAACTATAACTAATATAATTAATCGTATTTCAGACACAATTCATGCATTTTGAAATTGATTTTTAGTTTAAGGTCCTCAATATTAAGATTTTATAAAATAAATGACATACAATATTTTCATATTAGTTGAAGTCCCTCAACATTTTCACAGAGAAATTTTGACACAAAGAAATTTCAGCTCTTCACAAAGAAATTTCAATTTTTACAGAGAAATTTTTCTGGTATGATTACAGAGAAATTTCATTGAATAATCTTAACTAATAAAAAAAAACATGTTAGACTTCTCCTACTACCCAAAGTTAGAGAGGGACATTGCACTAATTTTCCCTTGTCGGTACAACTATCCATTAATTTCAAATAATTTACCATATCAATTAATTTTATTAATATTATTATTATTTATTTTTAAAAATAATCATTTATTAGTTTTAAATAATTTACTATATCAATCAATTATTAATTTTGAATCTTCACTAAAATTTGTCGAGACATTTTCAATTCAGGTTATTTTATTTTATTTGAGTTAGTATAATATTAATAGCTAAAAAAAATTCATCACTTTTTTATATCATGATCACTTGGTTCATCTTGTGTCCCCTTTTCCTGCCTCACACTTCAAATGTTGCCATGCGTCTCCCTCTTAAAACTTTAAGTTGTAGACTTTCTGCATTGGATCAGCCCTTAGTTTTCTTTTTCTTTTTTTTTTATTATATATATTTAAATAATGAAGCAAATGAAGTTTTTAGTGGTGGGTCTGTAAACATTGAGATTTTATCACAATATTATTTTAGATACTTTCTTCTTCTTTTTTTGAACAAATATTATTTTAGATACTTGACTCCTCTTTATAAATGATCAATTAATTAATAAAAAAGAATATTCTTATTGCGCGTCAAAACTGATCAATTAATTAATAAAAAAGCAGAATTTTTGGAGCACGTCAACGTATATTGGTGGAAGAAATAGAGCCAGGATGTATCAAGACTTCATTCCAAAATTGAAGAAAACACGCAGAGAAGGCAGAGAAAATAGAAGGAAAGGGGAAGCAAAATTTAGAGAGGAAAATAAAGTACGAGTCGAAGAGAACAATAGAAGGGCTCAAACACATTTGATAGTGGCAACGCTCATAGCAACAGTTACTTTTGCGGCAGGTTTCACAATGCCAGGTGGATATGATGGCAACCAAGGTCCAGAACAAGGTATGCCAGTTCTATTAAGAGCAGCAGCTTTCCAAGCATTTGCCATTACCAACACTATAGCTATGATCTGCTCAATTTCTGCTGGGTTTCTATACGCATCTGCCTCTTTTTACAATGAAGTGGAAAAGCAAGAGCACCGCCATTTGATAGCATTCTGGCTTATTTTAGTTGCAATGGGAGCGATGGTTGTGGCGTTCATTACAGGCACTTTCGCTGTGTTATCACATTCTTTAGGCATTGCAATTACTGCATGTATTGTTGGCTCTTTCTCCTTTTTCATTTTAATTCCCGAAGTCTTTAAGCTTTATAATTACCAGTATATCACAGATCCAGCTAGTGCCATTTTCTGGGAAGAAATAAGGATTACAAACCAATATACCTGAGTATGTGAACTCAGAGGAGAATAAAGTTGCTTTGCAAATCAAGATGACTATGAAGATTTGAATTTTTACTTTTTCAGTATTTTATTTTTTTTTTATTTTTTTTTTTTTTCTTTGTGTTTAGGCTAATAGGAGGAAACAAAATGTATCTTTTGTTGTTTTAGTGTTATTGTGGAAATGCATTTTCTTTATTTTTTACAACCATCTGTTTATGTGAACCACAATCTCCTCATAGTTTAAAGTAAAAGATAGATTCGCCTCCATCAACCTTGGTGAGCCACCACTTTCATCCATTTCCTATTAGATAATTTGCAAAACTCCCATCGTGTTGAAAGTAGAGTAATGTTTGTAATAAGCAAATTTTTATAATACATTGAATAATAAATAAATTTGGTATAAAAAATAAATATCTTAATATTACGTACTCTTAAAAATATCTTACAGCGATTTACAAATGAAAAAAAAAATTAAAAATCACCAAGTTATGCAAGCCAACGAGACTCCAAATTTATGTCGGAAGAATGTTTTAGTTGATAACGATGACGATGACTAGTGTATTTATCACCATAGTAACTTTTTATATTGCTAGTGAATTACTTCTCACTCACCCGTAGTAGTAGACATTTTGCCTAAGCACGAAAATTCTTGTGTTGTTTTTCTGTGACCATTCTATTTTATTTTTTGCTTCCATTGCTTGGATGAGGTTTATTCCCAACAACATATACATGTCTAGTCTCCATCAGATAAGCTGTCAAATATGCTTTACATTGCCAAATGCAAGGAAGCAATGGCTGGAAGTGATGAGGAGAGCTTCACTAAGTAACATGTCCAAGAAGATCAGCCTCCAAGCTCTCACTAATTCCAGGTGCTTGTCTAACTCTTCCTTCCCCAATCTTCCCCAATCTTATCCAGTGTTACCACGCAAAATTTAAAATTTAATAAAAAAATGACAAGATCTTTTGTTGCATTGCCTTCTTCATTGAGAAGTCCTCCAAGAGAGAATAATAATTTCACCTTGTGATTAGTGTTACCAAACATTAAGCATTGAGCAAATTGAAAAAATGACATGAAACTACAAGATCATCAAATATATTGCTTAGCACAGTAGTTGTTACTACTATTAATGATAAAAGAACCATTGTGACACCAATATCTATCAACAACTCAATATACCAAACCAATTAATTTGTCAGAAATCAACAACAATAAAAAAATAAAAAATAAAAACATAGCTGAAATTCATATTTTGCACACTCAATGATGCAAGTTTATCTTTGAGCAACCAAAACATAAAAATAAAAATTAAAAAAGGGAAGGAATTTAAGCATTAATGGAACAAAAGGTTGGCTAACAGTTTCCGATCAACATCCTCATTCCTCATTCAAAACATTCACACAGATACTGAAGCATTGGGGTGTCAACAATTGACATTTCATAACATGAAAGACCAAACTACAAGCTAGTGCTTAAGCCCTTTTCTATAAAACTTCATTCAAGTATAATCTTTCTATCTACATACAGAAGCAAAGCTGAAGGGTAAACAATTGTTCATCAGTTACAAATTTCACTCTAGGAAACATCAATTTTCACTTTGCACCAGCACCACCACCTACATAATGAATTGAGTACAAAAAAAAGAACTTTATAATTCCAACTCATCAGACCCAGGCAACGAAACTGGTCCAAGGCAATCACCTTCCAAACTGGCAAGAATCATGAAATCTCTTTCTATGTCCCAATGTTTCTTTCTCCATCTCACAGCGAAGACCACAAAACGGATAACCACATCATTCTCTATCCTTGAGTGATCATCGTTAATGAAGATCTCTCGTGTTTTCCATTGGGCATAGTAGAAATTTGGCATCTTTTGAGCTGATAGATAAATATATTTCATGGGTCCACATCTCAAGAAGACCCCCCTTCTATGTATCTTGTGCACAACTCCAAGCATGATCTCTCCATTGACAGGTAGGAAGGTGCGACAGTGAAAGGCCACTGAGAAGAGGACGTCCCCTGATTCATCTTCAAACTCTCCATTGCCTATGCTCTTCAGTTCGGTTATTGCTAGGAAGTAACCATGCTCCTCTGTGGACTTAATGAGCAACAATTCCTTTAAGAGGCCTGTCACAACTGAGCTTTGGGGGACCACTCCATTTCTGTCCAGGCTTTTTGTGGGGATAGCCACACGCCCACGAATTTCCATTTCACGAAACATATTTGTTATCTGCATTAAAATGGCCAAACAGTATCTTTTGTTGTTTTAGTGTTATTGTGGAAATGCATTTTCTTTATTTTTTACAACCATCTGTTTATGTGAACCACAATCTCCTCATAGTTTAAAGTAAAAGATAGATTCGCCTCCATCAACCTTGGTGAGCCACCACTTTCATCCATTTCCTATTAGATAATTTGCAAAACTCCCATCGTGTTGAAAGTAGAGTAATGTTTGTAATAAGCAAATTTTTATAATACATTGAATAATAAATAAATTTGGTATAAAAAATAAATATCTTAATATTACGTACTCTTAAAAATATCTTACAGCGATTTACAAATGAAAAAAAAAATTAAAAATCACCAAGTTATGCAAGCCAACGAGACTCCAAATTTATGTCGGAAGAATGTTTTAGTTGATAACGATGACGATGACTAGTGTATTTATCACCATAGTAACTTTTTATATTGCTAGTGAATTACTTCTCATACACTCACGCACACTTATTACACAATTGCCCTCACTCGGAGGGCCTAAAATAAATATTACAGTCCGAATAATAAACACATTGATTATTACAGAATTTCTAATTAACTAACAGAACGAATGCAAAAAAAGAAAAGGTGGCCACGGCCCCGCCTCGGGATGCGCGAATGATGTATGCTCGAACCCGCCTCGCCTGGAAAGTCCGTACCATACCATTGCTGCCTCTGTTTTTACTGCCTTGCTTCTCTGAAAAATTCCAAAGTTCTGGGACAGATTCCTTGCACACTAAAGAATACCATCGGCTGGAGGAAATTCCCACCGGCAATGTATAATTTCCATCGGCTGATGATAGGGTTATCGACCATCAACCGATTACCGGTCGGCACTAAATTCTGCAGGTCGGCAAAAACTTCCTGCAGAAGACAGTTTTGACAGCAACAGAGGACAGACAGTATATGGCATGGGATTTCAGGTACATGTAAGCATGGTCATGTTCCCCATCATGTATTGAACTCAGGGAAGCGTGGCCCTCGATCCTCGAGCCATCAATTGTGCATGATAGCCTAAGAGATCAAGCTTGCCATTTGATGTAAGAATGCATGCTACACACAAATGAGGACCGAGGCCTTATCATGTCGAAGTCAAGGGCCCCGGTGACCGAGAGTTAAGGCGCGTTACATCACTTATAGTATGAACGCTCCTTAACCCTCACACTTGGTTTGACACCCCAAACCAAGTAATGCAATGCATGTTATGCAAACATGACTTAAAAGTACAACATGAGATTAAGGTGCAAGGCATGCCAATTGCCATGCAACTACTATGGCAAGTATGCAATGCTAGGCATGTAAGATGCAAATGCAATGCAAACATGGACGGTTCAAGCAATGGGATCATCATGTTACAACATCTAATGAAGCAACCATGCAACAAACACGAGAAAAACATGCAATGGTGACCTTAAGCCATAAAGGGACAGACCTCAATCCACCTCAAAATAGTGGCCAAAAGTGCCCAAAATGATGGACAAACACTCATGCCAACATGCAAGCCAAAGGACCTAAGGTTAAGGCACAAAAAGGGGACACTTTGCTTCCACCAACATGACCATGCATGGCATGAATTAGACAAGCAAAAAAAAAATAGAATTTTAGCATGCAAAAATGGACCCCAAAACCCACTAATGTGGCAACTTAAGTGGCCCCAATGAGATGCATGCACCAAAGCTTATTTCAATGCATAAAAGGGCACATCCTCAAAGCATGAAAGAGGTCACATATGCAGACATACAAACATGATTTATGGACTGAAATATGATCCTAAACGATGCCAAATCATGAAGATGGTCCAAGCTACGCATGCTAGAGGCCAATATACTCAAGGCTTACAAGCCAAAATACAAAAAGATGATACCAAACAAGGCAAGCATGACTGGAACACATGGCCAACAGGCCTTAAACATGGTAAAATAATGCCAATACCTTCATGAAATTAGGCTAACACATGCAAGAATCATGGCCTAAACACAAGATGCATTTCTAGGCCAAATAGAGGAATGCAAAGCAAGTATGTTAAGCATGCAAAAGGGCACAAATCCGACCAAAAATAGAGATAACATGTGACCTAAAGACACCCAAAAAATTCTGAAATAGGGCCAAAATCAGTCAAGCATGCATGTTGCCCTTTAAGCCAAAAGGCAAGGAAATGAGGCAATGAAGGGAGAAGGGTGTCCCTCCCCTATACAAGACTTCAAACCACCTTCCTCACCACTGAAAATCCACTGGTTTTCAGTGGTGAGAAGACCAAGACACTCAAGCAAACAAAGCTTCACAAAGGAAGCACCAAAAAGGCCAAATAAGGCCTAAGAGGGTGAGTTTGAACTCAAACCACAAAACACCCTTAATGAAAGCTCTTAAGCATAAAAATATAAGCTTTTTTTATGTTATGCACAAAACCTAAATCAGCAAGCAAGATAGGTAAAAAACTAGTGCAAGTTTGGAGAATCTAAAGCAAAGTGGTTACCCTTGAAGAACCTTTGAAGAACAGTTGGTCCAGCCCTCTTCTTTTGATCAAAATCAGTCCAAAAGCTCAAGAATCAACCCTCCAAACCTCTCAATCTCGGAGCAAGGTGTAATGGTGTGTGTATTAGTGCAAAAGTAAGGTAAAAATACACTTTTGGGCTACCAAACACACACTTAAGGAAGGAGAGAGAAGGAAATATAGAGAGATGATGTATCTATATGTGTAAGCTCTGGTTTTTCCTTCAAACTTGCTAACCTAGAACAAGGAGAAGACCTCTCCTCTTATAGAAGTCCCTCTTGCAAAGCTTACTAAACAAGCTTGCTTAGAGGGAAATCCCTCCATACACGTATATGGAGGGGAACAGAGTGGGTGCCAACTATCACAGCTGGCACAAAATATCTACATAAAGTAGATGAATAGTAGTCGGCTGCGCAAAAATGCCATTTTGACCAAATGGAGTGCCGACCGGCAACAAATAATGCCGACCGGCAGTATATATTGCCGATGGCAACAAAACACCAGCCGGTGGCCTCTGGCCATGGCCGGTGGTGTGTGGGGATGCCTCACAAGGCATCCCTTGCCCCTCCAAGGCAAAACACAAGTGTTTGGTGCAAAACCAGACACTAAACAGTCGAGTCGAGAGATCCTGAGGCAAGGCGCGCGAGCCGAGACCTCCGGGAACTCAAGACAAACACAAACATAGATGATCACCGAGTGTTCAAACGATGACGTCCAAGTCTTGAGGACGGTCAGAAATGGGGTGTCTACAGTTGCCCCTCTTTGACAGAACTTGAAAGTCATAACGATGACGGGAGTGAATGTCAAAGCCCAGAGACGACCCATTTTTTACAAGGCCGAAGACTTAGACAAACATGCAAGCAGACAAGATATGCGCCCGAAGGCAAGGGCAAAATGCAAGACAATGCACAGAGCCGGACATAACTTATGATCATGCAAAGAAAGCTGTAACGAAGCATACATGCGACAATTTTATGCTAGCATACACCAAACTACATTATAATGCAGAAAGGATGTAAGAGAATTATGTAATTCTCGATACGTCTCACTCGGAGGATATAATACCTGTGCGGCTCGTCTGGTTGCACCAACCTCAACTGAACCGTACATACAATATCGTGCCTGCAAAGAAAACAAACTTTAACAGGTACAATATTGTTAGCAACATGCATAATAGTGTACTTGAAATGCGTGACAACGCAAAGCAAGTGGGAAGCATAACAATGCTGTGAAGGTACAGACATGTAAGTGGAGCGCACAGTCTACGCGGGCGACAAAATTGATCATGAGCATGCGGTCTACGCAAGTAATGAATTGATTATAACCATGCGGTCTACGCAAGTAGAACATGCGGTCTACGCAAGTAATGAAATTGATTACAAATACGCGGTCTACGCAAGCAAAACATGCGGTCTACTCAGGTAATGAAATTGAATGAGCATGCGGTCTACGCAAGCAAAACATGTGGTCTATGCAGGTAATGAAATTGAATGATCATGCGGTCTACGCAAGCAATGAAATTGAACAATCATGCGGTCTACGCAAGTAATGAAATTGAATGAGCATGCGGTCTACGCAAGCAAAACATGCGGTCTACGCAGGTAATGAAATTGAATGAGCATGCGGTCTACGCAAGCAAAATATGCGGTCTACACCGGTAATGAAATTGAATGAGCATGCGGCCTACGCAAGCAATGAAATTGAACAATCATGCGGTCTACGCAAGTAATGAAATTGAATGAGCATGCGGTCTACGCAAGTAAAACATGCGGTCTACGCAGGTAATGAAATTGAATGAGCATGCGGTCTACGCAAGCGAAAACATGCGGTCTACGCAGGTAATGAAATTGAGAAGAGTTGAATGTACATATGCAAGTAAAAACATGTCATTCACGATGCTGGAATGTAAAGTACTGTAACACAGCATAATTGAAATGATTTGTGGAATTCACAAGACATGAAAAGGATACGGGACGGGACATTCCTCGTACGTATCGAGCGTTGCTCGCAGAAGTTGTGACCTGAGGTCAACTCGAAGGTTCACGTTTCAAAAGTGTGCTTTCCCGCATTGTCTCGAGCGATGAAGGTGCCAAACCATGTAGTTAACCCGAACAATGGTGCGGAAAGTGCGTTGACCGCGAGGGGAGTTTTACTGGTATCAATTCCGACACTTTGCTACCCTGCCATTCTATGCTTTACTTTCCTTTTTACTGGTAGTTTAAGCACATTGCACTGCCTTGGGCAGGTTTTATTTTCTCAAAATTACAAATTTTGCAAAACACATGACGAGAATGAAACAATCATTTTGTTCAAAAGATGTTGCATTTGTAAACTTTCTAAGCATCGCATCGCAAGGTATCACACCACAATGTGAACGAAATTGAGCCTATTTTGAACACTAAGTATTTGCATCGTAATAATCAGGTAGTGAACCGACTTACAACTCGATAAGCAAAACAAAG